TTTGGTATTCGACCCGTTTTAGGCTCATTCCAAAGGCATTATTGTGATGTCAGAAAATATCCTGATGGATATATGCATTTTCTCCAGTGTTAGATGTTACCTTCTTGAAGACGCTTGGTTTTGTCCACCAGCCAATTGACTATCTGTATAAAGAGCCCTCGGTGCACGCTTTATGGCAGTCGACAGGGTTGCCTTCTCCCTCTCCTTTCTTTTCCCCCTCCCCTATTATATATATATTTTCTCAGCACTATTAGATTATTAAATGCTTAATGACTATTCCAAACTATACTTTTGATGAGCTGCAGTAATAAAACTTTGTAACAGCAAAGTGTGTGTCTGGTTCCTTTATAGGAAGGGCACATTTGGGGAGCTGAAGTAATGGGGGATAAAACTCAATTAATGAATAGAAATAAAAAGAAGTAAATGAGGTAATCAAACTCAGAGAAATTAGTATTGGCAGGTTCTGAATGATGCTCTTGGATGAACAATCTTTCAAAATCCTTCCTTGTATGCTGCTGCCGTCTCTTTATTTATTATTAAAATAACATGATCCATGAGGCGCTCAGGGTGACTCCCAGCCTAGCTAATTCTAATTAATCCAGTCAGGGAGAGCAGCAGGGTAAGTGGAGCAGTCTATCGGATTGAAATTCATAACTTAATTGAGGTCAAAGTCCCGAGTTGGGAGAACAAAAGTCTTTCGCTGGGACCAGGCAGATCAATAGCAATAAATATCTGGCTTGGATACAAGTAGCTTATAGTGACGGATTATCTGACACTGGCCAGAGGTCTTGGTCTTGTGCAGGGCAAAGTCCCATGGCATGTACAGCGTAGGGTGACTTTTATCAGTGGTCCCTCCAAAACCCTGAGGAACCCATAAAGGGCTCACAGGAGCCACAGAAGAAGGATGTCCGTAAAGAAGTCCGTGTGAGTCATGCCAAAATTTGGATTTGGTTTCTCAGGGTAGGGTTGTCTCGTCGGTAGCACAAGGGCATGTGTCACATTAGTGCTGATGGAGGTTGGAAGAAGTTGCTCAGGCTTACAGGAACTTGGAGCTAAATCACGGCTTGTCCAGAGAAAGACCTTTAGGATCAGGGGAAGCTGAGCAGTAGATTGATGGGCTTTATGCCAAGTCTGTATTTATAGTGTGTTTACATAAGAGGAGAGAGGAAGGTTGGAAGAGGGAAGTGTAAATAATCATTAAGGTAGATTTGTAGTGTGAGAGAAACCAGCAGAGGCAGATGTGGTCTCGCCTGTTCTTCAGAAGAGCAGTCAGTGTCTCTGCTCTGACCTCCAAAATGTTCTGTTTGTAGGGGTTTGTGCCTGCTAACGGTGGCTGGTTTCCCAAGCCCTTACCCAAGCACGGCATGACTTTGGGTGTTGACTGACCCCCTAACTCCTAAGCCAAGGGAAGAAGCCAGAGGTCCTAGCCTGAGACCTGTGGCATTGCGTTGTACGCACAGCCTTCCCGAGGAGCAGGTACTGAGACATTTGTCAATACTAGCAACTGAAGAAGCTTCTCTAAACTTTTAAATAAGTGGGTACTTCAACTGGAGTTCAATATTAAAATGCAATCTTCACCCAGTCTGTTATTAATGCGATGTTTATGCAGATTTGACTGTTCTGCTCGTATCCTCTTTGCAGAGGACAAATACTGCTGTGGTCAGCATTCGATACATCCCTGATGGATGTTGTTCTGCCAATGTACTTCAACACAGCTTGGAAGAGAGATGGAAACCGCAGCTTGGATGCAGCCGGTGGCTTAGTTTGACATACCTGCTCCTCCCATTAACACTGCATAAGTCTACAGCATCTGTTAATGTCCGACTTGCCAAAAATGTTCAGAAGATCTCTTTGGCTCCACTGTTTGGGTTTAGAGGTCTAGGTCAAACGCCCTGTCTGCTCAGCTTTCAGGTTTTAACATAATGAGCGACTGTTGGTATTTCTGTGTGTCTAAATGGTTGGTCAAGTACCCTCATACCCTGTTGAAACTGTCTCTGGAAAACACCTCTTGTTTTCCACTGCAGGGTGTTTGCTTTGTGTGGACAGAATATAGTAAACGAGGCAGCTGTTCAGTACCTATATATACTTACTATTCCTATATCTGGCTGTTACTATATAACACTTGCTATTATACTGTATACTGCTTTCCTGATTCGTGTCCCATTCAGCACAACCTCAACCTCCTCCTTTTAAGTTGGTGGCTTTACTCTCCAGGTTTCTGTTGCGTTGTCTGTATGCTCCTGCTTCGTTCCTGCCCAGCCTGGACAGGAGCAAAACAGAGTTTCTGAGGCTGTTAAACACAGTTGCAGATAAAACTGCATTGGCAACTATCGTTTTCCCCTTTACCAGGGGGAGAGGGGGGCTGAGTAATTTATTTTGTGTGCATATAAAAACTAACAGAAAAATCCAGACGGACCACAGTGCTGAACAATTTACCACTTAACAGTAAAATGTCGTGAGCAATGCGTGTCCTGAATGTACAGAACTTTGAGATGGATATTGCCTTTCAGCTTGCATTGTGGCTCTGCTAAGGTTTAGTAGAAAAACATTAAAACGTGAATATTACCATTTTTTTCCTGTTCATAGAGACATACCTGTGATGCAGACCTGCTCTTTGAATTTTTCAGAACCAGCAATTGATACACTTTGAAGCGCTTTTGCTAAACTCCAGGCTCCCCCCATCTGGTAGTGGTGGTAGGCTAGTTTTATTTATTAGTGAGAGAATTTGGGTTTTTTCAGCTGAGAGAGAGAACAGGATCTGTCCATTCAGAGCTAGGTTATCCATAGTTACATACATTATTAAAAAACATAGCGGTAGATGTCCATATCTGTAGCATCCCTGTTGATTTGGTGAGGAAATTCCCTTTATGGCTATTTTCAGAATCGAGTTCAGGTTTCTAATTCTCCACTTTTGCTACAGAGTACCAGCGTGACCTTGAACAAGTCACTTGATTTCTTTCTGTCTTGGTTTCCCATTTGGGAAATGGTGGGGCAAATAATTGTTTTTTATCTCATGGATATAACAAGATTATAAAAATATGGTAGTTCTAAGATCCTTAGAAAACTGATCAAATGAAATTAAACAGAACTTGCAGTCTGGATAAAATTAGATGAAACAAGCATGAAACTATTACTGAAAGAAATGTTTCTTTATCTTCTACAAATAAAAATGCAAAGTGATTAAGTGGGTCTTTCCTAGCTATTAGCAATAGCAGCTCTAGCCAGCTGACTTCTGTCACCCTTGAAAATTAATTTGCGGGGTGCAGTCTTGAATTTAGTATGCTTACAATAAATACCCCTAAAAACGTTGGTCACCTTCTGTGATGCATGATGTTACTGCTGCGATAGTACTGCAATTACTTGCCCTATAGATAAAAAGTGGCTGCTCGAAATGAGATGCTCTAACACAATGGTTTGCAAATTTCTTTTAATTGATTTTTTTTTTTTCCCCTCCTGTGATATTTCCTTTCTTTACTCTACATCCACCAGTATTTTTATGAGGCAGGGGAAAGGAATGGGAATAGCATTAAAGGTTATTCTTACCCAGGACTGTTTCAGAGGTTTGGTTCGTAGGATGCACGCACCCCGGGCAGCTGTGGCTGTGCAGCGAAACCATGGAGAGGGGTGGCACGGAGATGGCCGTACCCCCGGGCAGCCGACCTGCCATCCAGCTACCCGCTGGAGAAAACCCAGCGTATCCCTGCTGCTGACAGAGAGGCTGGGCACGGTTACTGATGAGCTTTGTGCATGCGGGAGATGTTGGGAGAGAGGAGGAAAGCACCAGCTCTGTCTGTAGGCATTTTCTTTCCCTGGCTTGGCGAGTCTCCCTTTCAACGTGGCACTCAAAGCAAGATAGTGATTAATGAACAAAACAGTGAGGAAGGAGTTTTGACTGGTTGACTTTCTCCAACACAGAAGGAAGATAAGAGAAGTATTTCAGAAAGCAATGGGCTGGAATGTGCTACAGAGCAACCTTAACACATGCTTGGACTTGGCCAGAAGCCAGGTTATCTGTGTGCAGGAAATTTCAATTTTCTTTTTTCTTTCCTTTTTTTTTTTAAACTCAAGTTTTAATCACGTTCAGACTGTGCAGATGAAATCCGAGTCAGAAGCCAGGTCTGCAAAAGCTGCCTGGTTACCTTCTCTGTGATGCCCTATTC